CCACGATTGTGTGACGGCGCGTTTCATTATTCGTTTTATATTTTACTTCTTATAGCTTCTCAATCCGAGAAAAATTCTCCTTTCCATCTATTTTGCTTGATTATTTTGGGGAAAACAGTCATTTTTTATCAGTCTGACTTACTTTGCTGTAAGAACTTAGAGATTTACAAGTTAAAATATCGTTTAATATGAAATTTTTTTTATTTGACGATTTGATTAATGAAAACACAAAATAAATAGAACATATGTAATACTTAAAGAGGGTCTGTATATTTTCGACTTTCTTATTCGGAAATTTATGCGGTGTGAGAAGTTTTAATGAGTGCAAAAATGTTCAGTTCTTTGTATATCAAAGAAAATTAACTTGAAATATCTTCTTTAGTCAAAATAAATAAATTCAACTGATTATTTATCTCTTACTTAATATGTATGATATGATAATTGTAGGAAACTTAATGATAACAAAATATTTTTTTAAAAGAAATCGTTTAATGAATGTAGAAGCTCCAAACATATTTTTTTAACACACAACAGCAAATAAGTATTATGATTATCATAACAATTAGTATATGACAAGTGTATTAGTACAAATCAGACATTCCATAATTATATTAGGTATTTTGTTATATAAAAATATTATCTGTATAATAACCATTAGTGAATAATACAAAACAGATACACCATAATTAAATCAACTATTTCGCTAATACATAAACAAATGATATTATAGGTATAATAACCACCAGTGAATATACAACATATTTAACATGAAGGAATTAGCGAAACAATCCTCATTAAAACAAATTACTTCCTCGTCAGATATTCTCCTTTCTCTGAAAAATAAGAGGAAATTTTTGTGAGCCTACTTGCGTATATTGAATGAAATTTTATGCATATACACATGAATTGTATGTACGTACATAGACACAAACGTATATTGTACCTACAGGAATGCATGCATACATTATATGTATACAGGTGCATATACACGTATAAATAAAAATGCATGCATACACACGTATAAGTAAAAATATTTGCATACACACGCAGTATATAATTATATTTATGTGGTCACTTTAAATATCGTTGCATGAATAACATTCTTATTAAATAGTACATGCATATAGTACATGCACACGTGAGTACATTGTATGTCATATGAACGTAGAATGAATAAATTATTTGTTGAAAACAAAAAGCAGACCACTCTGAAAATTTTTTGATCTAATGATCGGTTGTTTATGTTGGTCTATGTCGCACTAACGATGAACAATGGGCTATTTGTGTAGAGTTGGGAAACATTCCTGAGGATGATATGAAGACATGTCAACAAAATTTTGATCCTCTGCAGAGGGGATGGATCTCCTGCTTGACGACATGCGAGTAAAATCGAGATCCTAATGGTTGAAAAGTTTAATTAGGATAGATACCGCACACCTTTGGTTCCTTTGTAGGTAGATCAAAGTGATCACCCATCCACACACTGACCGTAGCCAGTGATCCTTGACTTCGGTGTTCTACTGGGAACCGTGTCTTAAAGTTCCCTCTACTGCGAGATGATCCAATGATCGGATATTTACGTTCTTGAACTCAATCTTAAGGGTTCAAAGGATCTCAAATATGTTTATTAATTAATGCAAACCATATTTTAAGTTATTAAATTAGACAAAAATAAAGCGTACCTTCTCTGAAAAACATACCTTTTCTCGACGGATGCACATTTCTGACCCACAAAATATAGGGCGTAGCCGCACTCTGGGAAATATGGTCCTAATAATAGGTTGGTCAAACGAGCCGTCCAACGGGTATTCGCAATCCGAAATAAATCGTCCCAATAGTGAGGTCTGAGTCCAAAGCTTAGACTCCTTAATGTTAATTTTACTTTTTGCGTATTTCACCATGTCCTGAGAACTTTTAAAACGAATTAAAGTAATTTTGCATACAAATATAAATTTTGTTTATCCAAAGATAATTCTTTGCAAAATATAACTTTCAGTAAATATTTACTGTTTTTAAATTTTATTTTGTAATAGCCGAAATTTTTTGATTATTAAGTATACAATTTTTTATAACATTTTAAAGAAGGAAATTTTAAATGGCAAAATACAACATTTGAGTAAAATGGATCGAATAGTTCCTGAAAAATTGAATTTTGAAAAAGTCGCATTTTTAAGAGCTATTCGATTGATTTCGTTCAAATTTTGCGCTTTGCCATTTAAAATTCTTTAACTTAAATTCAAAATTTTTTAGACTATCATTGAATAAAATGATAAAAAATGATTATTTTGACTAAAATTTATATTTTGCATGGAATTAGCTTTTGACAAACGAATTTTTTAATTGAGTGCAAAATTTTTTTCAATTCACATAAGATGCTCTCAAGATGTGGTCTCATACGTAAAAAATATTAACATTAAGGGGTACAAACTTTGAACCGCTCTTCTGACTATAACTATTGGGACTATTTTTTTCCAGATTACGGCCACCCCTATAATTTGAGAGTCAAAAACCCAAGAAACACCATAAAAAAGGCATGTTTGTTCAGAGAAAGTATGTTTTTGTGTCTGATTTCGTAACTTAAAATATCGTGGGCACTAAGTAATTAGCATATATGTCATCTCGAACCTTTAAGATTGAGTCCTTGATTGTGAAGATACGATCATTAGATGAAAAGTTATTTAGAATGGTCCATTTATTTTTTGTGTATCGTACATACGTATATATACTTTAAGTAGTACATATAAATATGCATAATCTTATGTACGTTAATTCACATATATGTAGATACACACATACTTTATATGAATAATGTATATATGTATCTATGTAAATGTGGGTATATTTTCACGCCCGTACGTTTGTACGTATATACACAATTTATATATGTTCAATATATGTACGCATATATTCATGCGCTATGTAATAACGATGTGTGCACTTATGTATAAATAGGGCACAAAAAAGGGAAAACCCTGAAAATATATTATCTATTGATCGGATTTTAATGTACATACTACTAATTGATCTTATTGGTCTGAATGTCTAACTTTATGAGGGATTCAGTTCCTAGACCCTTAGAACAGGAGAAGCACCTGCCATCTGCAAAATATGGTATCAACAGTTTATGAGGGAGAGCGGTGGAAAGTTTGAATAACTTAATGTTAAAATTCCTTTTTGCAAATTTCGTATTGTATAACTTTTAAAGCAAATCAAAAATTTAAAATTTGAATGAAATCAATTGAAATCGATTTCTGAAGAATTCTTCAGAAATCGAATTTTCTATAAATAGCTTTTTTTCAGAATTTGATTATGGAAAAAAAATTCTATATTTTGCAATGCAAAGTGTTTTCGACAATTAGTAAATAAAATAAAAAATAATATTTATTTAAAGTTATTTTTTGCATAGAATTATCTTTGTATAAACGAATCTTATAATAGTGTGCAAAAACTTCATGATTCGCTTAAAAAAGCTCTTCAAAAAAATCGAAATACTCAAAAAGCTTTGTTAACATTAAGAGATCCAAACATTCAATCGCTCTCCTGCCTAAACAACTTTGGCAATATTTTCAGGCTGGAAAACTTTTAAAATATTGACTACCTTCCATATTTTTAGGATCAAAAATTCAAATCTATCGGAGAAAAAAAATTGTTTTTTTTTTCCATCTGGTTTTGTAACTTAAAATATCGTTTGTATAAATTAATTAGCATGTACAAGATTATGTCCTCGAACAAAAAAAAAAATTGAGACTCAAGACGTAAACCATTTATGTATTAGATTGAAAGTTATTTAAGACTTGTAATTTTGCTTTGCACCATACATAAATATGAAGTCGAATCAATAGATAAACTACATTCAAGTTCCGAAAATTTTGTGGTAGAAGCAATCCATCAATTAGCACAATCGATCACGTTATCTTCCATGTTGAACCCGAACTATCGCCTAATACAAACTGAACCAGGGTGACCTAGTACCGGTCACAAAAATTTTAATGGCTATTATTCGAAACTTGACAGCATTCGACGATTTTTGATCAATTATAGAGGTCAAATTTCTCAAATGAATTCCAATTTCAAAATGAATCACAATTATTCCTATAAGCAATCAATTTTACTTATGGTGATTAGAAAACGAATAAAACATATATTATCCTGTCTTGAAATTAAAAGTGCTTTAGCTAATCGGAAAGTTACCGAAATTACAAATACAATCTTCTAGCCATGGATACACTCAAAAGTGGGTTAAGAAAATATTATAAATGCTACGTTTGGAAAAAATCAGATTCAAATTATAGTAATACACAGTTTCTATTTTAAAATCCTGATAAGTAGTCTGGAGCCTCATAAAACTTTTTAATGTGGATAAATCTTCAATTTCTGAAATATTATTTTTATTTGCTGGGCTATATTTTGGTATTACTGTAAATCTAACTAACGTTAGTGCTAATTTCCATTTTTTATAATAACTATAAATGTATTGTAAATGCTATTTACTTAAATCTATCGGCAACTCATAAATAAAAAAAAAAATTAAGGTAAAATAGTAATAACAGTAATAAATGAAAGTATTGATAATTAAATTTAAATTATAGTTTCAGTGTTTACTTGAAACTTACTGAAATTAAGAAGGGAGCATAATAACCATTTAATATCCTTTGGGTAAGGCCGTTCCAAGCATAAATTTAAGTTTTAAATTCTTAAGTTAATATTAATTATTGATAATCTTAAAAAAACAAATAACAATGTGTAAATTAAATACTTAATAAGGCAAATGAAATGCAATTAAACAGTGTACCTACTTTTTATATCAACTAAAGGGAAACATCTTAAACTTGGAAGAATAAAACAGAATATCATTAAGAAACTTCAATTTTAAACTTAAATCAAGCAAGTAAACTCCAAGATTGTAAATGATCAGTAGCCGTAATATTAGTACAAATTTGCGCATGACGTAAGCAGCAGTTTTTAAGACAGCATTTTGAGAGTGAGAAGAATCAGGGGTTTGCAATAATTTTCAAGAGTTAAATTTAGTGAGATTTTTTTTTTTCATTTTCTTTTATTTTTATTACTATTTTTAATTGAATAAGAATATTGAAGTTTGAACATTAAGCATTGCCTCAAAGTTTCGGTACAATAAGGCTAATAGAAGTTTTTCTAGTTTTTAAAAGAACTTCGTTTAAAATTTTATTTATTGCTTTTCCATTTTAATTTTATGTATTTTAGACGTATATTTGTTTGATAATTCAAATAAGACGTTAAGAGAAAGAGAACAGATTTAAAATACTATCTTCCGATTTTTTGAACGACTTAATTAAAATTTAATTAAACAGACTTTTAGCCTCCCCCCCCCCCTTTAGAAAGACTTATTTTTCTTTATATTAGTCCCTTTTACATTCTTTTTTTATTTTAAATTTTTATTTTCAACAGTGTTTTGCCGATAATGTATAGAAAAAATTCTTGACACGAAAAAACTGCTGCAAAATTTCAGGAATGGTTGAACATTTACATACCTGCTTACTTATAAACTTTTTCGAGAAAATCTTTTACAGCAGTGTCAAAATTTAAGTTAAGAGGTATAAAATTTTTACATCCTTTTAAAATATGTAATTTCACCTGACACAATGCAAAATTTGAGCATAATCGGTTGAATAGTTTCTGAGAAATCGAATTTTAAATATATACAGGAACAATTCGATAGATTTAGCTCGATTTTGTATTTTGCCATGTAAAATTACATACATAAAAATTGTATAAAAAGTTGTATGCCTTATAATTCAAAAATTTCCAGCATTTATTTAATAACGTAATAAAAAGTAGTAAATATCTACCAAAGTTTATTTTCTGCATGCAATTATCTTTGGATAAACGAATTTTAAAATTATGTTCAAAATTTTTTTAACTCGCTTAAAAAGGTCTCTATATATGGCGAAATATGCAAAATATAAAATTAAGATAGAGGCATCCAAACTTTGGATCACCCTCATGATCAAACTATAGGGACAATATTCCCCAGATTGTGGCTACCCCCTATATTTTGGGGGTTCAAAATCTGAATCCGTCGGAAAAAAGGTATGTTTCAGGTATGAAAGGTATTCAGGGAAAACACATTTTTGTGTTTAATTTCGTAACTTAAATAATCGCCTGCACTAATTAATGAGATTACCCCTTCGAAAAATGAAGATTGAGTTATAAAACGTGAAAATTCAATCATTAGATCAAAATCTATTCAGTGTGGTCTGTCTTTTATTTTGCACACTATACATCGAGTTCTGTGAACAAAATGTTCTTAAATTCACTCCAAAGATATGATGAAAAAAACTGTGGGTCTAGGTTTTGAATCCACCCAGTTTTAGAGCGGGTACCAGCTTGTCAGGGAAATAAAGGCGGTAGGTGCACAATGCTGATTTTATTTTCACCATCACTCCTCGTTAGTCATAAATCGTAGAGTCTTAATATCGATGACCCTCTAGCTCACAATAGACAGTTGGGCGAATTTTTTCTGTATATAAATATTTTAAATAAAATTTCTCTTCGCGGATATTTTATTGCTATACCATAACTAGGTTTGCAATGAGGTAAAATGAACGAGAGAAGGCCAGACATTTTAAAGGAACCGTAAAGCATGGGACCCCTAAAGCCAAATTCGAGAAAAAAGTAAAATTTGTAAAAAAATATTGAAGAGTCAATTTTAAACTCCAGATTAAATTTTTTTTTAAATTTTATTTATTTTTTAATGAGATTGTTTGAATGAAAAGTTTCTAAAAAAGAACTATTACTTATACTTGTGTCGAGAAACCTTTCGTATGTAAGAAAGAAATTTTTCGTATTGTACTTTCGCAGACCTTAAAAAACAATCCAAAAACATGGTCTTATGCTCGGTTATTTGCTTTCTCTTAAATGAGGTCCTTTGCAAAATATTTTCTAATTATTTATTAATATTTTCGCTGAAAAGGTTAATATTTGCTTTATTTCGTTTCCTTTGAAAAAGGTTTTCGCTTAATATTTCTGCTAATCTAATCATGACAGCAAGCAAAAATGCAAAAAATAGGGTTTACAATTTGCTTGTTTTTTAACCCAAATAACAATATTTTTTAAAAAAGATTTAAAAATCATTTACTTTTCCTTTAAGGAGGAAAGGTAGGAAATTGCAATATTTTTACGTCATTGAAAAAAGGTTTTTACTGCAAACCTTTTCGTGACAATGAAAATAAAGTTAAAACACAAGGTTGTCGTAAGGTTACATGCTTTCTGGGATAGTCGTAGTCGCTCCTGTGTTGCCTTTAGCAGTCGAGTGTATGCAGGCCGACGTTGTGTGCTCGAGACTGAGTAGCAACAGTGCGAGGAGGTAGAGAATGTTGCAGGCACAAGTAGCAAGTCAACTATTCAATGTGGACCATCCAACGAAGTAGACTTACTCAGATCGAAGTGGGCGTTACTGCCCAGGTAGGCGTGTTCACATCACGTCCGAATGTCACCAATGTAGGGAGAGTAGTTACAGATCATGTCAACCGTCATCTATGAGAAGGTACCCCGTCATAGAGTCGAGTTAAGATGTCTTATATATTAGTGAATTGTAGTTGTAATTTTGTAGTGGTAGATACGCTACAAGTGGATTACGTGGCTTCATAACTTTATCCACTGTTACAGGAAGATGAAGAGCATCTCTGAAGCCATGGATTATCTGGACAAAACCATTTTGGGTTTTAAGATTCCGAGGAGAATTTCGATAGTTCATCCAAAAAGCATCATTAAGGTGAAGGAGTTTTTCATAAAGAATTAAAGCTTCTCCTCGGAGACAACCTCCAGTGGTTTAATATTTGTGAGTAGTAACATGAAATCAATGGGTGTAGTTTTAAGTACTGAGTCTGAGGGCCTGGTTTTGAATACATTAAAGACGTCTCCAGAGTAACTGAATGACTGTTCATATAGAGATCACAGATATTCGCCTCATACAATAACGCCCCCTGTAGTTCGTTGCGATCGCGAATTATTTATCATGCTGGTAAAAATTAAATATATTCGAAACAATTTATGTTCTAGCAATGTCTTTTTTCATCGTGCCTGTGAATCATGCCCAAAAATATTTATAACTAAAAAAATGTACCATAATTTTATATTATGCTCTAGTGTATATGCGCATTTTTTTTTCTTTATATCAGTGTTTTAGTGAGTGTTAGTCATATCTGTGTAGTTTTTCAACTCATTTTATTACTAATATTAATTTGAAAGGCACTTAAAAAATAATAAAAGAATATCGAGAAAACAAAAAAATTTTGCTAACATTCAAATCAAAGGAAAAAAGGAATATAAGTAGCCAAATCTAATAATCATAGAGGCTAGTAACCATGAACATCGACGTTAGCGATAACGTTTCTTGCTATGCAACATCCAACCCGAATCTTCATTATATTGATTGGCGATCGCAACACTCGAATACGCCATCTGGGGAGAGACCGGATTCATGCCTTTAGCCCTTCTCCCCTCTCCTCTTTTCAGTTGTGTCCCGCAGTGGACTGGTCGTTAAGACACGGTTCCCAGCAGATCCCCAAAGTCAAGCATCACTGGCTGCGGTCAGTGTGCAGGTGGGTGACCACTTGGATCAGTCTGCGTAGGGACCAAGGGTGTGCGGTATTGGTCCTTGTTAAACTGTGCTACCGTAAAGTGCTCGACTTCGTGTGCAGGTCGTTGGGCTACCGATGCAGGGATGCCATCCCCTCTGTTGAGGATCAAAATTGTGATGGCATGTCTTTGGATCATCCTCAGGGATGTTTCCCAGACCGTCGCCAATAGCCAATTGTGTAGCTCTAGTGCGACGTAAATGAACTACAACAAATCTTTTCAGTTGTATAAGAATGTACTACGATATTTTCCCTTTTCTTAATATTTTTCGTTTTCATTTAATCAAAATATCTTTTAAAATTTCCCTGATACTTTTCTTTAGAACTATGTTTAATGTAGTTTTCAGTTCCATATAGTTTTTCAAGTTAAAAGATTTTAATCTATATGAAAATCAAGAGAGAATCTAACGTACTTCCTTCCTCTATGACTTTCCACACGCTAATGGGGAAAGCATGTGAAGTGTTGCCATAGGTAGAGAGTTCTGCTCTACGCCACCTGCAGTCTATTTCGATCGTCAATACGAGCAATACAGCAATGTTACAACTAAACCTAAACAGTGGCAAGTTTGAAAGTTATTTTAATTTTTTAAATGTTTGCTGTTCCTAATTTTTGTATTCTGACAAATTTTTGTTTCAATTGCAAAGAATTATTTTATTTTGAACAATATTAAATTTATAATACTATTATTTGCCTGCTGCTGAAACTTTACTTCTGAGCGAAGGTTGTGTAAGTAGATAGCCTTTCAAGTAATATTTAGGTATGCCTGTTAGCTGACGAATTTGTAAAAAATTATTTCTAGTTTAAATTTAGAATACGAGGCTTGCTTTAAACTTCCAGCTTTTCTTATTTTTAACTTCACGTTAGTTTTAAAATATTTAATATTATTTAGTCAAATTCTTACTTAGTTTTTTTAAGTTGTTTACAACGAAATCCATTTTTCTCAAATGTTAGATTTGTTTATCTAAATTAAATGTAGTTTATTCTATATTCAGTTATATTCTTGTTGAATGTATGTTTAGAAAAATATTTTAAATCTGTTGTCTAATACTCAATAAATATTCCATGTAGTCTATAAATAGGGTTTTAGGTTTAAGCTCTAATTTTATGTACTAAGATTCGGGGAAAGACGTAGCAGTCTACCTCAATATTTAAAAGTACTGTAATTATTATAAGTTTTAATTTAAGTAAGGAAATGACAATCTGTCACAGGGTTGGCAAGTTTTTGACACATGATGGTTTTTACCGGTTTATACCATGGTTTTTACCATCATGTCAAAAACCCATAGTTTTGGTAAAACTGTTTTTTTTTTTAGTTTAACTGATTATAAGTTGAAATTAATTCATTTTTAGGCGACAAAATTAGAAAAAAAGTTGTTAAAAGATATTTAAGAACAGATTCTTGCATTTTCCCAACATGATTATATCAGAACATACTATTTGAAGTATATTAGGATTAAATATTAGGATGATAAACAAAATTTTCAACATTTCCAAGCATCATTTTGTTTCACATATTACGTTACTGAAGAATGTCAAGTCATTCTTGACTTAGTTTGTTAGTTGTAGTTACAAGTTTTGTTAAGCTTAATTCTAATATTTAAGAAATGCCAAATTTTAAATTCTTCTTTTTAGTTCTTGAATTTATTAATAGTTCCAAGCTTTTTTGTTTGTTTGTTCTTTTCTAACAATTAAGAAGTGCAAAATTTTGAATCCTTTGCAAATCAAGCTATAATGATAAAAGTATCACTATTTTCAATAAGTATATAACAATATTTCTGTATGAATGTATATTCTTCTGTAAGAATACATGTATATAGTTGCAAAATCAATAGCATTCATTTATAAAGGCAATTATGTGAAAATAATATATTGTCCGCTATATGCCATAAATTAAAGAAAACAGTAGGTTTTTGACGGTTTTTTCCTGTAAAAACACCGTTTTTACCACTGTCATGTCAAAAACCTGTTTTTGACGGCAAAAACCCACCCTGATCTGTCAGTTTCCTGGAAAGATTTCCATATGATGTGCAGCAGAATAATTGCTAAGTCTTTGCGATTTGCAGGCAGTTGTCTGTGAGAAACTAAAAACGAAAAGATTGAAGAAGGGCATAATATACAACTTGAAGGGCATAATTTGCAGACACTCTCAACAGGGTTGGGTTTTTGACGTCAAAAAGTGGTTTTTGACATGACAAGGGTATAATACTGNCATGTCAAAAACCTGTTTTTGACGGCAAAAACCCACCCTGATCTGTCAGTTTCCTGGAAAGATTTCCATATGATGTGCAGCAGAATAATTGCTAAGTCTTTGCGATTTGCAGGCAGTTGTCTGTGAGAAACTAAAAACAAAAAGATTGAAGAAGGGAGCCAACTTGAAGGGCATAATTTGCAGACACTCTCAAACAAACTTCTGCATATTTTTTTTTTTTTAATTTGCAAATTTTTAAGTCTATTTGGCTCCTTGGCGATATTTGCTACCAAGATAGATTACAATGCAAAAATACCCTCTGGTACCCGGAAATAATTGGATGGGGACAACTCCGTATCGTGATTTGACACGCCAACTACAATCACCACAATGCTATTAAATTTGTAATTTTTTTTTTACAAAAGATGTTGCATATTGAATATGCTGAGGTTGGTTATGCCAACATGTCTAAATATTTGGATTTGTGGCTCCTTATTTGTTGATATAGTGCAAGTGGTACTTCAATCAAAAAGTAGTATATGGTTGGACGACACTACTTTCATAATTTGTAATAGTTTTTATTTTTGTAACAGGTGAATTATGGCACAATTTAAATTAGAAAATGAACTTTCTAATGCTTTAAGCCACAATGCTCCATTACGTCAAGGCCCGGCTCCTAGGTGGCAAAAAAAGACTTTGCAAGATACATCTTCTGTTGATATGTCTTTCAATACATCAAGTAACAATTCAACCTTAAATATTTCATTAAACAGAAGCGCTTTTAAAGCTAATCCCAGTCCTGGTAGAAATGTCTCTTCTCTCGGTGTGGGGAATGCCAAAACCTCAACAAAGTCCTCAAAATCACCTATTGGTATGTATTTGTCAATTGTTTTGTTTCTTAAAAGTTTAATGTTTTTATTTTTATTAGAATCATTTTTTAAAAGTGATTTTCTCAAGAGAATTAGAATCTTGCATGGTTTGATGCAGATGCTAGAGATATTGTTGTCTGAAAATAAAATTTATATTAAAATAATTTTCATATTAATTTAAACTAATCAGGGGTCTGTTTAATAGAAATTTGGGTGCGTTAGCTGACCCTTCACAAAATATTTAATCTTAAAATCGGACCCTTCACAAAATGATATTTCTTTTAATCGGACTCTCCACAAATTTGTTTTTCACTATTGTTTTGTTAATCGAATAAACCCTTTCCAGGGGGAGAAAGAAAAACGAATTAAGTTTGTTTTGTTTGAAGTTTGTATAGGCTAAATATCAAATATTTGTATGTTGCATCTCTAATTTAGAAGCAGCATTTGCTGTTTATTTTTGGAAATTTATTTATTTTTCTAGTTTTAGTGTTGAGAATAATCTTGTATCTATTTACTATTTAAAAACTCCTTGAAAATGTTTTTGTTTAATAACAGGACCCTATTTGCACAAATTCATAAAAGCAGGACCCTGGTTGAAGGACCTTAATATAAAACAATTTTTTTAAAATTAAAATGCACTTAAAAATGTTACTCATTTGGTATAAAATTGAATCTTCATAATACTATGAGATTTCCCTTGCTTACTACGCAGTCATAAATTTCGGCATACATACCAAGGTACACATAAAGTGCACCTGCATGTGTTTGATTATATTATTTTTAAATATGAAATAAATGTAACTTTAAAAGCTTCAACAGCTAAACTATATAATATATAAAATTAGTTACACTTTCAACAAGTGGATTTAGCATTTTTTATTGGATTTAGTATATTTTTGATTTAGCAAAAATCACTTCTGTTTATGTAGAGTTCTACCCAAATAACTTACATGATCTGCATGTGTTGCTGAATCAACAGAAAGCTTAAATATCCACAAATTTGTCCTTTCACAGTGAATTTAAAACTATAAATTTTCTTATAAACTGTTTTTTAGAAGCTAAAAAGCGAAGGTCTACCAGGGATCTGTCAAGGGCAAATTTACCACCGTTTAGCGGTGCCTTCACAAATTCAAACGGTAGTTCGCAAAATACTTTTAAAAAGGAAAGTTCAAAAATTCTCCCCCTTCTGCTTTTTTAAATTTTGTTTTTGTATCCCTGTAAAAACAATAAACCTGGAGTTAATTATGCATTTCGATTTGTAATGGAACCCGCCCGTGGTTTGCTATTACGACGTAGTTAAATTCGCTTCCTACATGGTTTGAAAGAAAAGCATTTTTCCTCCCCGTGCCAGGCTGAAGGCATGCTAAGATTCCGAAAATTAAATTTAAACATTATTCTAAATTTATTCTAATAGACCTTTATTATTTGAACAATTTATTGTGTCTGAAATTTATATTTTTTTCTTTATATTTCATGTTAGCTAAAGGTAGTATCGATCATGATCAATAAAGGTAGTATAGTATCACTCAATATTTTTGGTACAGATTTCATTTTGACATACCTAAGCATAAAATTATAATTTATAAAATAAGTCTTACGAATTTAAATTAATTTTTATTCACAAATTAACAAATTTCATTTTCTAATCAATGTACATTTTTTTTTAAATATTTGAACTGAAAATCATGAATATTTTATAGTACATTATTTTCAATTATAGGGGATTTATTTTATATGAATGTAAGTTTTCAAATGTGAATGTTATAGCAAAGGGTTTCAAATGTATGATGCCCCTATAGACATTACAATATTAAAAAAATTGCAGCAAAATATTTGTTTTTTGTGCCAAACATGGTCATATTATAGAATTTTGTTGAATTTCTGAATATTGCTTACACAATAATGGATATAATATAAAGTTTCTAAATAGAAAAAGCTACCCATATAATAAAAATTATTACAATAATAGAACTCAACCTCATTTAAATCCTAAAGTTACTTGCCATAATCTTAATCTTATCTTAATCCTAATATAATCTGAATCCCTTATAATCTTAATTTAAACTAGATTTTAGCTAAAATATTGCTGACGCATAGTATTTTAATTTAGTACACAAAGTCTACAAATGTTACATGTACACTGATGGAATTACCCTATTATATGTATATTTAAATCAATCCACTATAGGATTTGAGATATTTTAATATTAATTTCAGTTCTTTTTTAATACACTAGTGAAACTGTTTGCAAGCTAACTTCTCACTGTAAGTAGAGACATTAATATTCATTACTTCAATTAGGATAGAGATTAGTAAGGTTAATGATAAGGCTTGGATAAATCAAGCTGATTGTTGTATTCAATTTTAATTTGAGTTGGTTTTAATTTGTTTTAGATGAACTGACCAGACGGCTTACTCCTGGGAGAAAATCAGATCGAAAAAGTCCTTTACCTGAACAAATGGGTGATCGATTCATCCCTAACAGAAGTGCTATGCAATTTGATTTGGCGCATTATATGGTTTTTATACTTTGCTAGTATTTTTTTTTTTGTATTTTGATATTTAAATGCTAGCCATGATAATGTATTTTGTTCTACAAATCTTTTTCCAATAATAGTTTGGGTGATGTAAGTAAATTTCAATACATTGAAATGTAACTTGTTTTTGTACCAATGAATAGTATGTACAAATGTTTCTACAAATGTGTATCTGTATGCGAGCGATAGGGATTTATAAATTACGCATCTTGATTTATATTCAGTGTTTTTCGAATTTCAAATTTTGATTTTTTTTAATCAATTCGCTTTAAAAGGATAAACATATCATACAAATGCAATAATTTTTATTCCTGCTATTCACATCAAAATAGTTAATTTAAAAAAAAATATTGACTTTCTCGAGCATTTTTTATCACTGCAAAAAAAAGTAAATTTAATATATCGATTTCCTCAAGCATTTTTTTATATCTCAGAAATTGTCCAACTCTCTGTCAAGAATTGAAGTCTCTATGTTTATTTTTAAATACTTGAATTTTTGTTGAGTTATTCGATAATTAGACATTTATACAGTTACCTTTTAAATATTTTTTTAAAAATTATAACACATTACAAAAAGCATGTTAAACACAATAAATTAACTCTTCTTACATTTCTAAAAATATCACAGGATAGACAGACTTTTAAACAAAAAACAGAACTTCTAAGAAAACATTCATTATTTTTTAAATGCTGAACAAAGTTTAAAGCAATTTAGCTTGCTTATTTTTCAAACATAAGCAAAACTTATAGCAATTTTAACATTTCTTAAAATTTCAGTAAAAATATCAATTTTAAAATCTGATTCTACTTAAACAATATCAATAACTCCATTTTTTTCTTCCTTTTTCATGAACATAATAAAATTGTACTTCAATATGCTTATAATTTTTTTGTAAAGTTTCTCTATTTAGCTGATGTTTATGTAAGAGCTTCAGAATTATCTTCATAAACTTTGATAGGTTGAAAAGTCTCAATAAAAATATTACTAACAAAATTTATTTCGGTTACAGCTTAAGACAGTACAATATATTCTGTAAACTTTGTTTTGCTCCCCCCCCCCATGAATTGGATTTCTAAATAATTCAATTACTAAACCAGTATTGAAAAAATAACCCAAGGAACATAAGCAAAAATAAATAAAACGAATTAAGTCAATATGTTTCAGACGCTTAAAAAATACATACCTATTCTCAAGCCTTGTCAATGTGAAGGAGAATGTACAAAAGTGATTAGAAAGTATAAAATGTAAAATTGCCCATCAAAAACCGAAAGAGAAACAAAAAAAAGAAAAGAAAAAAGAGCCAAGAGGGGCAAATCAGGGTAAAATGTATTTCAATGCACTAGGGAAAGGTTTTGAGGAACTGATGTCTTCAGCAAGGGATTCATCATTCATAAGAATAAAACAACGTTCCAGGGCATCTAGATGAGCTTCTGTATTTTGGCATTTTCAAAATTTAATTTATGCCCAAGATTCCAGTAATGTGCAACTTTGAGTTGCTAGCAATAGTAAATTTAAATGTATTTAACAAATCAATAGTTCTTGCTTATGTATTATTAAAAATACTTAATAAAAAGTATTTAAATATTATTTGAAGCTTATCACATAAATTAAACACTATTGCTAAATGTACAGAAGAAAACACCTAATTTTGCAATTTAGTGTTCATTCAGTGAATTTTAAAAACATTTAAGGGAATTTCTACTTTACAAATATTTTTATATTCAATTCCTTTTGCTAATTATATGTATTAAAAAAGGTTATTAATGAGTCTTTAAAGTTAAAGTACATCAAGAATGAAAATTTATGTTGTGCACATTCTTCCTATTTTTGAATTTCCAATCTTTCTAATTCCTACTTTCTGAAGTTGGCGGTTATGCAAGTAATAATATTGTTTTAAATTGTAGGTATTTTTTGATTCGAAATGAAATTAAAGTGATTTCTTAATATAATGTGGCCATTAATTTTTTTTTATTCATTTATGCATATACGAATTAAGTATTAAAATTTTGTGAAATAAGCCTAATAAGAAGTAGATCATTTATAAAAATTATAATTTTCTGAACAAAAAATTTTGCTGTAATCAATGATTATATTAACCCCTTCATTAACTTTTTAGCTTAAGTTTGAGGTAGTATTTTTATATGAAGTCAAAATGAAGTCTCCCGCTCCTTGGGCGTATAGAATATTTAAAAATCTATTTTTGTTTTTATTTACGGATTCACATTACTAATTTAAACTTAAAGTAAAAATCTTTATGGGAAATTTTTTTATCAGAGTATATTTAATTGACAGTATCTATAATTAAAGAGAAATTAATTCTTAAAAATAATCAGATTATTCAACCTTTTGTTGTTGGTGCCTAATATACCAATGTTATGCATTGTGTAGCAAAAAAATTCTAACAAAGTTAATGCATCATATAACAGAAGTTAACTAATTTCTTTTAAATTTGTGTGTTCAATTATTTTTGATCAATAATATATTTTATCATTTAAAAAAATATCAAGCAATATCAATACGTTTGGCAGGGCTGTAAGAAAAATTTTTTTTTCTTTCCGGGTTCTATTTTTTTTTTTTGTATTTAATAAGGTTTTGTCAAACTTGAGTTNGTTGGTGCCTAATATACCAATGTTATGCATTGCTCTAAGTCTTGCTCTATTAATAAATACAGGATATCTGTGCACCTGAAAAGTCATGAAAAATCAGGGAAAGTCCTGAATTTCGATGTTGAACAATATTTGTCATGATCTTAACTATTTTTTTTAAAAAAAATCCTGGAAATTCATGGATTTAGGTTTCCAAAAAATTTAATTTTTAAAATGCAATCCCCCCCCCCTATTTCATGGTGTTTCGAATATCTGAATTTGTAACAAAATCTCCACTCAGTCCTATTTTATTACAATATAAAATGTTTTATCATGTTCTTTAAAAGTTCTGGTGTTTTTTCAAAAAATGAAGGAAAGAACATCATTTCTGGAGCGAAATATCTTTTAAACTTCTTTGATTTCAAAATATTTTTTATTTTATCAATTTAAAATTCTAGCTGAAGCAAGCCAGTCATTGGCGAATATTTTGTTTTCTTCTGAAATGAGAACAGAAACATCATGAGTATTTCTTTCCTTTCAATGAACAAGAAAAGTATTCCTCAGAAGAAAAAAAAGATAAAATTATTTGCTTATTTTTCCAGCTGTTTTATTGCTTCAACTCTTTCTTTACTCTGTTTTTTAAATTTAAAATTATTAGTATTAATTAAAATCCTGTAGTTCACAGAAAGTTTTATATTTTATTAGTTTGTGCTTCAGTAGTTCTCCTTGACAGCGATGTATCTGGACTTCGCAATGCTCTGTTTATTTATTTTCATTAGTTCATTTATTATCAACTCCATTTTCTCTTCTGTTTAAAATTTATTCTACGCTAAACAAGTTGAAGTAAGTCAGTAGAAAATTGTCTGCTGTGTTAAAATACTTTGTATTTTAGAATTAAACCATTATTTTTATTTTGTAAATTCTCGTCTGCGCGTATCTCAAATACTATACGCTTCGTATTCAGAGTTTTATACACAATTCATGTGATTAAGGATTCATTTTATAATGAGATAAAGGTAAATAAATCAATTACTTTTGTTTCTATTTATATGTAGTTTTTATAATTTTTTTTTATTTCTTAATCATAAATACTCCCTTAAATGGACAAGAAGAACCAGAGTCTATAACAGCAGGTAAAATATATGCAGAGATCCATATTTCGAAAAAATTGGAAACGCATTTTCTTAAAATAGATACCAATGTGGAAAGACGCTTAAAATTCCAAAAAGAGCTGAGATCATGCATGTCTCACTAACGTGACGTTTACAAGCAATTGACCAGTCGACCGTCGTCACAAAAACTGATCACTGACCTTATGGTACCAAAAAACAAGTCAATTGAAATCCTATCTTCAAGCGACGAAAGCGATTTTCAACCAATTCATCACAAGAAGATGTGCGTTTTGGATTCCGACGAATAGCAGCAAACTATTTAATGTATAATTTGAGAACTTCTCCATGTATATGTACAATGAAGAATTAAATATTTTTACAATTTCTTTAGGTCTGATTTAATTATTTAATTTAATTGAAAGCGTCCTCTCATCTATTTCATGAATCATTGATGTATTTTCTGAGTTCGACTTTTTTTATGCGGCTCCTATCCACCGCACAAAAAAAAAAGTTTTACTGTATATGTTTTTAATTTTAAATATTTATAGTGTTTTTTTGTTTTCTTTTGTTACAGCATTGTAGATTATATTTATCGTTATTTTGAAAGAGCCTCATTATTTTGAGTTTTCAGGTTACTAAAGGAAGTGAAGATGAAAATTTAAGCCCTAATAGCTCTCATTATAGGAAAACTATGAGTGAAAACTTGTTAGGTGAAGATATATCGAATTGTCGAATTTTAGCTTATCAAAACAAAGCACCCCAAGCTCCCACAGGTGTGTTGTCAAGAAGACTATATTATTTGTGCTCCCTTTCCGATGTTTTATAATAATGCCCGATTTTTAATTAATGTATTTATATTTAGGTCATGCAAATGCTTTGAAAATACTTTACAGTTCCACTAAAAATCCAGGTTCTACCAAGAAAGCAACTCGTCACATACCTCAAAATCCTGATCGAATTCTTGATGCTCCTGAAATATTAGATGATTACTGTAAGTACTATTTGTAAAGGAAAATTAGATTGCATTACAATTTGTTAATAATGATAATTTGTTAATACATAATTTGTAATAGAGGAGAAAATTTTCATTATCATTCATTTCCAGTGTTTTCACTACAGCGCGAGAATCTCGCTTATTTTTTTTCTTTTCTCTCATTAAAAAATTATTAATGCGAGAAGATGCACGCACTCTATTAATCAATTTCAAAATGCTTGAATTTTGGAAAAAATTAGTCTTCTGCCATTTTGAATAAAATCCGTTTCACTTTTCTTCCTTGATCTTTCATTATTTTCAACATGGATCCCTGTTATCTAGCTTCTCTATTTACCAGTATTGTTCTGAACCAGTGCGAACAGCAGAACACAATGCCCCCCCCCCCCGAATGACAGAACACCTTTCAGAACACATTTTTCTGCAACCAAGTGTTCACGGAAGGTTAGATTACTTCATGTAAGACGAAGGTAAGATTACTTCATGTAAGACGAAGGTAAGATTTCTTCATGTAAGACGTTTAAATTTTTTTCAATGCTACAAATTTACTTAGTGATTCCAAATTGTTCAGCATCTGTTGCAAGACCATTTAGCACTCAAAACCGAATTAAGACAAAATATACAAATGACTGATAAACATTTGAGCAACCTAATGAGAAAAGCTGATGAAAAAGTAATTATAGAACGTTTTCCATATGATGATGCAGCAAAAATATTCAATGCTTTAAAAATTAGAAGATGTTAAAAACGTATTATAATTAAAGAAATAACTTTTCTCCAAGTCTATTCGCGTTTTTTTAATTTTTAGAAATCTCGCTTAACTTTTTGAGGTCTCACTCTGTTTTTGAGAAAGGGTGAGAAATTCTCTCTCATTTTTTTTTCTGTAATGAAAACACTGATTTCATTAATTTTTTAAAGTTAATTCAAATTTTTAAACGTGGATTTTAAAAATTTTTGTATTTGAGAAATTAAAATATTTTATTTCATAAAAATAACTTTGAAAAAATGCATGACTGATTCAGATTTGCTGCTAATTCAGATTTGTTTACATTACATTTGGTAGTGTGTGTGTTAAGGTATTACATTTTATTTGCATCGAAATATAAAATTTTATCCTTTTGCAAGTGTTTTTTTTTTTTTAAATTTTTTTTACAAATTCTGATTTATTTTGCCTAAATTTATTTGAAGAGGTAAGTATTTTCATATTTAACGTAATTTATTCTTTTTGAGTGTAATTATTCTTGAATCAGTTCTCTATTTGTCAAGTCTCCTCTTTTAAAACAGAATTGTCCTTTATTTAAAAGATGAACAAAGTGTTCCCTCTTTTAAGGAAACTAAAGTTTTTTTGAGCACATTGCTCCTTATAGACTATAACCACACGTACTTCATTTTCAAGTATAGTTTACAGGTTTAGAAAAAAAGAAAATCTTTAGTAACACAAATCTTTTTTTTTTTGTGGCTTTTTAGATCTGAATCTTATAGACTGGAGTTCTGCTAATGTTTTGGCTGTTGCACTGCATGGATCTCTCTATCTTTGGAATGCAAGCTCTGGTGAAATTAACCAACTTTTAGACATGCCTGAACATGAGGAATACATATCTTCAGTATCGTGGTTAAATGAGGGAAATGTTCTGGCTGTAGGGATTAGCACTTCTGAAATTCAGCTATGGGATGTTAGTGCCGAAAAGAGAATTCGGACCATGAAGAGTCACACTACTAGAGTACCATCACTATCATGGAATTCTTATATATTATCTAGGTAAATAAAATTTTAAATTGCATTTTATTAATATAATTTTTAAATGTTTAAAGCTATTCAACATGGTAAATTAACAAATAATACCACATAAACGTACTTAAATTTTTGTCTTGTTTTCTCAAGTTGTTTAGCTTTACTCATAAGTAGGTAAAAGTTTAATCTTCTTTACCTCGAGTGTTTTATTAAAAAAGTGTTAACAACAGTTCCTCTCTTTCTTTTTTTAAATAAAAGAAAAATCTTAATTTGCATGAGAGTAAATTGGTTTTTTTATTGGTCATCTTATTTTGATTGCTTTATCTTCAAGGATGTGCAGTGCTTTTAAAAAGTGCTTAAATGTAATTATTTTTGATTTAGGTTTTTTAACAGCCTTTGAAGGAGCTTTTTTTATTCAGGGTTTATAAAAAGTGCCTAATTTCCTATCTTTCAAAAAGAAATTTTTTCTTTGCTGTGTCAATTATCATATATTACAAAAAAAAAACAAGATTTTCACAATTTTCTCTGCAATATTTATCAAAACTAGTTATTTTATCATGATTATGTCAAGTTTTTTAAAATGTTTTTGCATTTTGTTGATTTTATGTTTATAAATTTAGAACTTTAAAGGATAGAGAAAATGATTTTTATTGCTGCACATTTGCTAATTATGAATTTTTTTTTTTGGAAAGTGATTAAAAATATTTTTGAGTGCTTCAAAAGTACTTAGAACGTGCTTACTTTTTGATGAAAATCTGGCTACACACCATGGCTTGGTGCAAGCTGAAGCTTGGTGTAAGCTTCATTTTGTTTTGCAAGTTTTGTTTGTGGAGAAGAGTTAAGTATCTTTACTGGTGTGCAGTTTCTTATAAATTTGTACTTATAAATAAAAGGATAAGAAAAAATCTGCAATTGAGAAGCTAAATAATAAAAAATTAGTGATAAATTTGAAATTTTAATCACAATTATCACATTATGTGTGTTATCATCTATGTTTCATTAGTAACTTAAGTAATTTATATTTGTTTGGTTTTATTTACAATATATATTTTTATCTTCATTATGTTTGCGTAAGAACTTAGTTAGGCATCAGTCTCACTTTTTACTATTTTAGTTTTGCCCAAACTTAATTTCACAAATAAATTTAGATTTCGGATAAAATATCTTTTTAAAAATTTTTTATTCTATGAAATTAAAGTAGGGAGATTATGTATTTCACGCTTGTTTCTAAACATATTCTTATTATGAAATGTACAGTGTGTAGTACCTCTTACTGTGTATTCCTTTAAATTGTTGGTCAACTTATAAGGGAAATGTGTCTTTACTCTTATATCATGTTATTATATATTACCTATCAAAAATAGATATATATTTTTTTAACATGATTTAAAATTTTTAGACCTGTATCTAGTTTTTTCAGGAATTTAAGTCAAATAAATTTTACGAATAATAGAATGAATTATTAGTTTAAAAAACAAAAACATACTTTTTAGTGATACATGCCAGCTGTTTAGTATAATTAATTTCTTAAAATATCACTATGCCACAACATATTAAATTAAGAAATTAGCATTGAGTTCATTTAAACAATTTTATTTTGTTACATCAACCGAATAGAAGAAAACTAATTAATTTTAACAAATGAAGTAGTTAATGATTTGGGATGAAATTTTTACCCCTTCTTTCCACTGGCACATCTATTTTCTTAAAATCACAAAAATAATCTGTTTAAGTAACAAAATAACTATAAAATAAAAAGAGAACAGAAGAATGATTTGAATTTTTTTAAGAATAGATACGCCTTTAACAGCTATATTCTGTGATAAGCTCTTGAAAGAAAGGGTTTACGTTAGCTTAAAGTACTAGTTCTCTGATTTTGTAAAATTCTAATAGCAAACATAAAAGCATGGTTAACATATGAAGGGTTCAGGAGAGCATTCAGTTATGCTCCCTGTCTTAAAAGTAGAGTTGCATCTTGTTTCTATAAAATTTTTGAGTACGGATAATTTCATAGTTTTTTTTTAATATGCGAGAGGACAATTTTTAAAAAAATATTTTATCCTTTGATATTGAATGAATCTTAAATATTGTGTACATCTTGCCTGTTGTCTCTGTTGAAGTTCTATTTGTACAATTATTTAATTAGAAAATTGTTTCTCCCTCCTTTATCTTTAAGCACTTAAATTGTTTCGAAGCTCTTTTTTTCCAATAAAAAATGTTATACTTTTAGTATTCTGTTTGTCAAATATTGAAGCTAAGTTTAACTTGTTTCAGAAAAATTATATAAATTTAAATATTTTAACAAAATGCAACCTTAATCTCAATGTGTGAAATTTATATATAGTAAATCCAGATTATCTGCTTTGAGGATCATCCACACTTCACCTTTTTTTGAAATGATAAACAATATAGCATTTAGAATGAAAATAAATTCACAGCTAAAACTATTTAAAGACTTTTGCTTACAACATTCTAGCAAACGTTCATGTTCGTAGCCCAGGTGATCACAATTAATCAAATGGGTGTACATTTAAACATTGCAGCTTCAAGTGCCATACATAAGTAAACGTGAACATTGAGAAGGTGATAAAGGTGAGGCATTCATAAAGAGCAAGGTAAACGTGAGTCATGATTTGCTTGAATAATTTAACTCTTCATAAAACTAATGCATGTTTTTTGAACAATGTTTTGTGTGTTTTTTTCAATAGTGTATGAACTTCTGAATTAAAAGCCTGCTTGTGCCTGTTTTATTTTAGTCTCCTGCCTTTCCAACATCAAGGAACAAAAAGTTGTCAGGCTTTTTCATACTGAAATTTAAAAAAAAAAAAAAAATGTGAAAAAAAAACTGCTTAAAAAAATGTTTTTTTTTAAGCGTATTGCAAATTATCCACAAATTTGTTTATCCCAACGTTGTGGGCCACCCAATTCAGCATATAATTAGGAGTTTCCTTTATATGTATGGTCTCCCTAAGCGTTTTCAGAAGGGCCTGCCATTTTAATAATAATAAATGAGTAGTAAATAGAGTTCTTGAGAAGCAGTATAGAGCCAAAGTAGCAAAACGGGTACAAAAATGCAAACTCAAGATAAAAGATGGAAGAACAAAAGAGGGACATGAGTTGAATAATGATAACATTATATTAAATTTTAAAACACCAAAAAGTACACCCTATCCACGACCTCAGTTATTAGAAAAAGCAATTTGCAAATCATTTAAAAGTTTTCTGTTTCGCAAAGAAAGAAAATTGCTGTAATATCTGTTAGCAACAAGAGTTAGACTTGAATTTTCAAAGCACATTGATAATGATATAAAACGCTCATCACTAAGTATTTCAGAGAAACTTAAATCACTAATAAAGGAATTTTTCTTTGGAAGTGACATTGGGTACTATGCTTGGGTTGAAGAGATCTTTGTCTGGATTACTGAGAGAAAAAAAATTGACGATAAAAAGCGTAAGAGCTAGTTTATGACGATGCATGGTGATAAAAAAGTATTTATGTGAATTAAGTGGGAAAAAAATCTTTATTCTAATAGTTGGAAGGGTGCGCTATTTACTAAAATCGATCATTGTTTGTTATAGATTTCTAACTATCTTCTATTGTAGTTGAAGACTGTAAAGATGCTAATTGTCTCTTAGTAAAAAAAATATGATGGCAAATGTGCAGGAGAATTTTTTGAAAAGTGGGCTAAATTTGCATAATACATAATGGTTAAAATAATCCATACTGATGAATTCCAAAAGGACATATTTAGTAGTAAAATCCAGGAAGTTCGTATTGATTTTTCAATGGCATATTCTTGTGAATATCAAAACTAAGTTCAATCACCATAATGATATAGAGCTTTTTTTTCTTCCAATTATTCAACTATTTTCTTAGATGGTACTTGTTCCTCATTTATAATATGCCCTGCTAAAAAAGACAAAGGTAAAAGTAGTGCCCACACTTTTATTTTAAGACTGTTTGTGAAGCTTTTTCGAAATTATTCTGCTTCAGAAAATGAACTAACATAAATTCTTTATTGTGATGGACCAAGTTCATAATTTAAAAATATATATACGGTTGAATTATTTCATCTTTTGTCAATCAAATATAAAAAAATAAATTCATTTGGAAATATTTTACATCACGTGGCAGAAGTGTTGTAGACGATAAAGGCGTGCAGTACAAAAACAAGTTGTGTTTTACTGTGTTGTTCACAAAGCTAACCAATTAACACATGCCTAATACAACACTATTACATGTAAGTCAAAATAAATTTACATTTATTGAAAATATCAATCCATGGCAAGATGCAACAGTAATCCAAAACATAAAATCTATGCATGTTATTCAAGTATCTCTAGATACTGGAATAAGCACAGATTGCAAGATAGTGACTCACAAATAGTCAGTTTCTGTGAAAAATTCTAATGATAAGTGCTATCTCGGGCACATTATTAACACAAATACGCATGTTTGTGAACTGGAAATACAATATTTGCTGAAAATAATTGGAAAAGATGCATGTTTTGTTTCTTGACAAAAATGATTTTAAGAAAATAGATGTGCCAGTAAACCAGTGGGAAGGTCAAATTTTCTTCCCAAATCATTAACTACTTCATTTTTAAAATTAGTTTTCTTCTATTACTTTAAAATAAATTAATGCTTTAGTGCAGTATTTGTGATTTTTCAATTGAAATATTCACAAAACGTAACTCAGGTAATGAACCAATTTTACCAAATTAAAGTTTTTACCATAAGAAAACGTCTTAAAAGATCACTAAACATACCTTTGATACTGCATCTCTCCATAAAAGAAAATATCTTAATTTTACTAATTTATACTTCACAGAATTAAATTAATATAGTCAAAGTTTCAAATATCTAGCATTATAAAAGGCATTCTAGCATTATAAAGCATGTATTGAAATTTCGAATTTTTTTTCAACATACAATTAATCTGTACCTTCAATATTTTTTCTGCTAACTTACACATGTAAATTTAACAACTAATTAAGAAAACTAAAAAATATCTAACTAATTTATTATTAAGGGTGTTAAGTTGAAAAATATCGCTTAAAAGTAACACGTGTGACAAAAGAATCACCCTAGAGTAGAAGGTACCAAAGTCTCCTTTAAAGGTATTTGTATCTATATTTTCATTTTTGTTTTAAACAGTGGAAGTAGAACTGGTGTTATTCATCATCATGATGTGAGAGTTTCTGAACATCATGTTGGAACTCTGATAAACCATACACAAGAAATATGTGGACTTAAGTGGTCTTTAGATGGAAGATATCTTGCTTCTGGAGGAAATGATAATTTAGTTAACATTTGGTCTGCTGATGCTGGAGTAGGGCAAACAGATGCACAGCCATTACATACATTTAATGAACATCAAGCTGCAGTAAAAGTAAGTTTGGCAATGTTGGAATTTTTTGTTGTTGTAAATCTTACGAAGGTTCTAGACTGAAAAATCACATTCTAAGACTCATTAAGACCAATTAATTTGTAAAAAGATAATAAAACCTTGAGAAATATCCCCAGGTATCCAGATTTTAATCATGGTTTATATTGCTTTTAATTATCAAATCAAACCTTAACATTATCAAATCAAACCTTTTAAGATAGGTAGTTATGTTTATTATTTACAATTAATCTGGTAGATATGTTTGCCTATTATCTAATTATAGCCTAATTAGCTGTAATGACTTTTAATTTTTAATGTGTGTGTTTCAAGCAATGAAATTGCCAATCAAAATATAGTTATTTTTATTCTCACAATGCCTTGAGTTTTCTTTTATTTACATTCCTTTAACACAGAATTGAAATACTTTTTAGGCTTTAGCATGGTGCCCTTGGCAACCAAATATCCTAGCTTCAGGAGGTGGAACAGCTGACCGTCATATCAGATTCTGGAATTGTAATCTAGGCACCTCTTTAAACAGTATTGATGCTAAGTCTCAGGTAATTCATTCTAAATTATTTATTAGATAAATAATAATATAATAATTTCATTTATTAGATTGTTATTGGTTACTTTTTTCTGAATATTCTTATTCCCTTTTTAAAATATATCTCCTAGACTAAGAGTTCCCAAACTATTCAAACTTACAGCACCCTTATGAGATTTAAAATTGTCTTATGGTAATCCATGTTTCCCTTTAGGCGGGAAAATAGAGTAAGAGGATTGATTTGAAGTGTATTGTTTTTAAAAATGATGAATAAGTTTTTAAATAAATTCTAATTTATTAATCTCAAAAATATTAAATTTGAAAACAGTTGAGCGGACATTCCACTCTTTCATCTATGATAGAGCCCGTAGGCTGCTACGATAATGGCAGTATAAGTGGTGAGCGTTGGAGAAATTCTGAAGCAATAGCAGACTTCAGTTGATACCGTTGTCCTACTTCTATCTATGTTAGAAGTAAAAGAGACTAGCTTCGAAACTCCCTTTTATATACTCAGCAAAGAACGTTTTAGAAGCTTAGGCTAGTGTCGATCTATGATTGGCTGGGGGTTGAATTACCTGGCATCTGGCTTCACCTTTATGTCACTCGCCAGTCCAACTAGTAACCTGAATTATATAAGCATTGTTAAAGTAGGTTATTATAGTTTTTACATGGGTTTATCCAATTAAATATTGTATCGAATTGAATAAACATTGTTAATTTACAGATTAACAGTTAATTTACAGTTGTGGATTGCCATTCCACAGGGAAAACCTGAAAAATTAAGGGAATTTAAAAATCACCGAAATTAACAGGGAAAATGCAGGGAATTTTGTTTTTTAATTTCGTCTTTTTAAAAACGGGGACCATTCAGAGGGCAATCTATGGAATATTTAAGGAATTTCAGGTATACTAAACTATTTAATTTACTATAGCATTATTAAAGTATGTTCAGTTGTTCCTTTTTTACTTTAAGTTTTTCCAGCATTTAAAACTAGTATAGTTGGCCTAATGTAGCTCATGCAGTAATTCTTTCCTCTTAATACATTGTGTATAATACGTACAGGGAAAAAACAGTGAATTTTTTTCCGGATTTGAGTGGCAACCCTGAAGGATGGGATTTAAAAAAAAATATATATATATTGCTATAGGGGATAGGATTTAAATAAAAATATGCTAATTGACAACGCTCCATTTCTCTGCATATTAGATGCATATAATATCTACAAGTAACTAATTTCATGTGTGTAAGACAAGGAAACTGAAATTATTGTAAGTAAATGAGTAGAATATAAATATAGTTCATACAATTTATGGTGGTGTTAATATGAGAAAATAATGTAAATTAGGTGTAATACAGCCTTTTTTTTCTCAGAAAAGGGCAAAAATCATTCCTTTTGGGGGGTCGCAATGAATTTAATACCTGTTTAATTGATTAAAATATAATTATTCCTAAATGTAATTAGAAATATCCTTTAGTTTTAAAAGACCAATTGATATGTTGTGTATGTATGATTAATTTGAGCATTTTAAGTTTAGCACTCTTTGTTTTTTATAAATTTGAATTATAACAGGTATTCTGCTTTCTTTCTGAGAAATTACTGTACATAAATTGATATTTTTAAAGAAACCCTTGAACTACAATTTTTTAAAAATGTTTTGTTTAAAGAAATTTTTTTTTTTAAAATGAAAATATCAAAAGATTTAAATCTTTTGACACCTTGATTTCTACTGTAAGTTCTATGTTTCAGAATTTTAAAGCTTACGAAATTAATTTGAAAACAGTTTTATAACTTAGTATGCTTTTTAATTTGATGCAATGCAATGTGTCTTAACTGTGCTAGTAAAAAGAGGATTAATCAATAATCTTTCCCGTTAATTGCTCAACTACGATTGGTTTGTGTAGACTATAGTTGGTTGTGTAGAATGCCATGGTGGCTCAAGGGATAGATTGTTCACCTTCCAGTAAGGAGACCTCTGCTCGAATCCCAGTGATAGCTGGTGAATACGAATCCCACACCCAGCTCGCACCAACCATAGTTCACAGTAGGTTAAGAGTCCCCTTAATGTCAGGCTAACTGTGGAAGGTTTTCCTCTCCATTGTAACACATATGCAGGTTAATTCCTTCAAAAAGTCCTCCATGAAGGCAAATTTCTTCCAATACTTGATCCAAGGCCGGGATAGCCTGGTCAGTGGGGTGCCGGGCCCATGTCCAAGAGTTCGTGGGTTCGGTCCCTGCTGGTCGAAGACTCCCCATGTAGTAAATGGTGACTGATGATCGTTAAATCTGTCGAATCTCAAAGTCCTCCATGTTCCCATGGCAAATCAATACCTCTGGGGGTACCGATCCAGGAGTTTCCTTGTCTTCTGGATTGGTTCAAAATTACAAGGCTATGGCGTTGAACATTTGTAGTCGTAAACCCAAAAATTGGGTCGACTGTTCAAAGGCGGTCATAAAATAAAATACTTGATCCAGGTGGTTTCTTTTCTTCTGGATTGGGTTCAAGATTACAAGACGACGGAGTTGAACATTAGTAGTCATATACCCAAAAAATTGGATCAGCTGTTCAACGACAGTTATAAAATAAAATGTAAGCTTGTGTCTTGATTACAGAAAGCTATTTAAACATTAATAATACATTTGAAGACAAGAACAACTTTTGACACCCTCTTCTCACTCTGCAACTCCCTATTCGAGACACCCTGTATTGGATACCTGTTTCTGATGATTTCTATGACAGCACACATTCCATTTTCAATTAAAAAATATTTCTGTAGTATAATTNAATATTATTCTCTAACATTATTATAATTTAGTTTCCCCCCCCCCCTCTCCATGTAACATAAATGAGGGTTAATTCCCTAAAAAAAGACCTCCACGAAGGCAATTTTCTACCCATACTTGATCGAAGAATTTCCTTGTCTTCTGGATTAGGTTCAAAATTACAGGGCTATGGACATTCCATTTTCAATTAAAAAATATTTCTGTAGTATAATTTTTAATCTTATAAGTTATATTTTCAATATGATACAGTTTTTAAATAAATACTGTAATTATGCTTAAAGTTTTAAAATTTTTGATAAAAAAAGCTATGTTTATTATTTCAAAAATTTGATGATTTGTCAAAGTTTAAAAAAAAAACTGCATTACTGTGTCTATGTAAAGAAACAAGTAATTGGTAGGTAATCACTAAAACTTAGCTTGTATGTTAGCTAACATAGACTCCCGGTGGTTGAGTGGTAGCGCTTCGCGCTCCTGTGCCACAGGTCCTGGGTTCGATCCTCGGGCCGGGCACGGACTTAGCCTTTCATCCCTTCAGTGGGTCGATAAATGAGTACCAAGCATGCTTGGGAACTAAACACCGGGGGTTTCGCGTTAGACTGACCACCTAACCAGAACATATGCTCTTGCACCCTAGAGCCCAAGGTCAAGAAAACTGAGATGGGCACAGTAGGCCTTGGCCCACTATGGGCTGACACGCGCCACTGAGTTTTTTTGTTTTTTGTTAGATAACATATCTTTTGACAGGGTGCGTAACCTTTTTGAAAAGTGCTTAAAAATACTTATTTTCGATTTTAGCTCTTGAAAAGCCCTTAAAGGTGCTTTTTTTCATTGGATGTTTTTAAAAAGTGCTTAACTTTTTCTTTTTTTAAATGAGATTTTTTCATTACCATGTCTAATTTTAGCCATGAATTACGCAAAAAGCGTATTTTTCACGTTCTATTTAACGTTTTTACAACTCATTCAACCACAATCCATTTTGGCGTACCATCAGTCTGTAGACTATGAAAGAGCTAATCATTTTATGTGCTTGATGAAATACTTGCGGGTCCACCTGTGCTGTGTTCATTGGAAATGATTTGTGCATTCTTATGTGCAACTCTGTTTCATTTTGCAAGGGATTCTCAATTTCAGGCTTCCTTTTCCGCCCTCTGAAATCTAAATAAAAAAATCTCTCGAAACTGCCAAATTTTTTCTTTAATAGCAAATTAAAATTTTATTTCTCTTGTTATTCGATCGTTGATGCAGCGACATCGTCTTTGTCCCTGGTAAGCTAATTTCCTCTCTCAGTACTCTATTTATAGATCAGTGTGATAATCTTTGAATTTGACTTTGAGACCATTCACTAATTATGTATTTTCATGCGTCCCCAGAACAGTCAAGAATAACAAAGCTTTATCTCCTCAAAATTTTCATATTTTTATTCATTTAAAAATTAATATTTTTAATCGTAAGATTTTTAACTGAAGGGCCGTCTATTAATAGCATTTTTTTTAAAACTTGCGTACTTTATTACTTTTGTTTACTTATTTCTTTTATTTTATTACTTATAAAATTTTCAGAGCTCTTAATTTGTTTTATGAAAAAACTTCATACTTTTTATAAAATCTTGCCTCTAAATATTAAGTGATAGGCTTTCAATATTTTAAATAAAAACAATTGAAATGAAAAAAATAAAGTATCTCAGATTTGTTAAATATTATGGGTAACAGGGGATCATACAATATTTTTTTTCTGGCATTTAATACTCATTGTATTTGCATTTCAAAATTATTTAAAAAATTTTAATCATTTTATTAAAGAAATATTGAACCAAATAACAAATTTTAATAAAAATAAATTACCTAGGAGCCATCACTAATTTACATTTGTATTATGAATTTATTAAAGTTTTCTTAGTTTGCTTAATTCTTTACATATCTTTATAAATTGAAATTCGGTATGCTCGATAATATTAATCTTAATGTTTTAATATGCTTTTATAAATTACCTTTATTTAAATATAAAGAAAACACTCTTTAAACTTTTTAAATTTTAGTTAAATTAGTTAGAATTTTAAATTAAATTTTTTTTATATGTAATTAAAGTAATTATTATTTTAAAAAAAAAAAAGATTGAGCCACGCAATACTGATTGTATTTAAAAATGTGCGTAAATTGTTTTTATGGTGACTAACATGATTAAGAAAAGAATTTGTCAGAAATTGGTTATTTTATCATGATCATGTTAAGTCTGAAAATTATTTGCAACACAGTGTTTTGCGATTTCAGTTGTTTCATAGTAAAGGAAAAGTCAAGCTTACGACAAATATCTTATAATTAGAAATTCTTCTGTTTGAAATGTTTTTGCTTTAATAAATTTCTTTGCCCATGATTTAAATATGAAAAATCAATTTGTAATTACTTTTTCGAAACTTTTTGTTGAAATTCTGTTCTAGTATTTGTGTCTACTGGTACTAAAATTTATTTTATGTATATAAGTTCTTTTTTATNAGCAGAACACAGAAACCAGTATTTTTTTAAATGGCTGACATTTTTAGAATACCTGGTAAAAATCATGAAACAAAACGTTTTCGCAACAAAACCAAAACATATGAAGAAATTAATTCAATTTTTTACCTCTGATGACATAAGAAGAATCAAATCAAACTGTGGTATGAGTAAAGCTCTGGAACAGTAGAGAAAAGCCGTCTTCACTAGAATGCTAAATGTTGGAAAAATAATTTTAAAAAAAAGGTTAGAACAATGTGTTACAATCTGTATTACAAATTTCTATCTCTTTAGAAAGTGTCGATTACTTTAAAACCATCTTTACTTTGAAAATCGATACTTTTAAGTCATAACAAATCGATACTTCAATCGATTTGTTATGACTTAAAAGTATCGATTTTCAAAGTAAAGATGATTTTAAAGTAATCGACATTTTCTAAAGAGATAGAAATTTGTAATACAGATTGTAACACATTGTTCTAACCTTTTTTAAAAAAAAATTATTTTTCTAACATTTAGCATTCTAGTGAAGACGGCTTTTCTGTACTGTTCCAGAGCTTTACTTATACCACAGTTTGATTTGATTCTTCTTATGTCATCAGAGGTAAAATATTAAATTTATTTCTTCATATGTTTTGGTTTTGTTACGTAAACGTTTTGTTTCATGATTTTTACCAGGTATTCTAAAAATGTCAGCCATTTAAAAAAATACTGGTTTCTGTGTTCTGCTTGGAAATCACTGTTTTTATTCTCCGAAGTTACAGTTTTCATCAATAGATTGCAGTCACTTCCAACAGAAAAACCATATTTTCCAAATAGTCACCATTTACAACAATAATGAGGAGAAAAGGTACCCCAACATTGGTATTTTCGGAATTTTTTTTTTTCAGTTATAGTGTGTAGATCTGGGAACAAAATTGACAGAAATGAATAATTCGATCGAAATTATTTAGCACTCAGCAAAAAACATTATATTTTTGCTCAGCAATGGAATCTTCTGATGAACTTTCTAACTAATGTTGAAACTTGGTGAAAATAATACATGGTTTCCTTAGAAGAACACGGACAACTTCACATTTTGTTTTCTTTGTTCTTCTTTAGCTGAGTTTTCAAATCATTATACAGCTTCAGAGGATCCAGTATGTCTTGTTTTACCACATTTTGTTCTCATTGTTTGACGCTAATGACTCGGCTTTTCAAAAAAATTAATTGACAAATATCATTAGTTACTTATCTATCTGTTACTTATTTAGTTCATGTTAAAATTAATAAGCATGAAATCTACTTTTTAAAAACTACTGAACTAATTAAAAAAAATCTTTTTCCTTGTTTCTCTATTCACCCAAAATACCTTAACATAGAATTATTTCAAAATTTCGAGCATTTGACTTTTAAAAGAAAAATTAAAACACAAGAAAACATTTTTTTTTCAAAAAAATTATATTTAAATATCTATAAATAATCCACGATTAATAGCTTTAAAAACTAAATTTCCGAAGTGTATCCGATCAGTAAGTTTCTCCAAATCCATAAAAATAGTAAATAAATAAATAAGTATTTAAAAATAAAAAGACGTAATTTTCTGGAAAGATTTATTGTAAAAAATACACCAATATTTCGGTTACTTTTCAACATGAGAACCACCGAAATAGTAACACTTGTTATACCGTGGGATAAGTTTTTCTAGTTCAGTATCATACACTTTAAAAAATTCCATAAATTCGTAAGTAATTCGGGGTGCCGGTACTTCTGATAAATACGAAAGAAAAAATCTGATACATTCTAAATTTTACAATAATAATTGCTGAAAAATCACTGAATTATTCTGATTGAATAACCGTTACTGTAAAAATTATTGTATAATATTTTACAATAAAAATGAATTTTACGGATGACGTGCCTAAAGTGCAACTAATTTGTACTGTAGTTTGATCTGGAATTTTTCACAGTGTAAGAGTCTGCCACCTGGCAATGTAGTCATCATGTTACAGCTGTCTATACGTCTTCAGCTGTAAGAAAGTGATGTCCGGACAAGAACTTCTTCGGATGCTAGAACACCATTTTTTTTTCAGATGCGTTATTCTTTTGCCGGTGGCAGACTTCTATGATACTGGACTATAAAAACTTATCTCACAATGCATCAGAAGGGTAATATTGTCAGTTAATAAGTAACTGAAATATAGGGTGATTCATAACGAAGCATACAGTTTCAATGCTTTATAAATTAAGAAAAATGCAAGATACTAAATGTCACCTGAAACAGAATTGTATGAGATTATTTTTGTGAGAGACAGTCGCAGTTGTTTTATGTGTAACCCTGTAGCTACATGACACACATCGAGGCAGAAATCCAATTACTCCCAAACGCGTGTTAAGGTATCAGAAGTAAACTGTCACGGGAGCCACTTTTTGGCTATGTTAACTTTTCGTTTGATGCCACAGTTACAGGACTACATTGACAAACTTCATTCTCCAGTTGGATAGTGCACAACCACATTGTTCGGCCTACATGCGAAACTGTGTCTCGATGAATATCTTCCTCACCGATGGGTTGGACGAGCCATGGACTACAACATGGCACTTACCCAGTGGCCACCCAGAAGTCCTGACCTAAACCCTTGTGATTTCTTCAGATGGAGGTACGTAAATGATCTGCTATTCGTCTCGCTTCTTTCTGTTGCTCTAGCGGAGCTTAAACAGCAGTTTCACAGTCACTATCGATGGACTTGATTGTTTAACACGCGTTAGGGCGGAAATTGATACTGACTTCATATGTTTCGTGCGACTGAAGAATCATGACTAGAACATCTGAGACTGTCTCTAACAAAACTTAAAATAATCCCACACAATTCTGTTGCAGGCGACATATAGCATCTTGCATTGTTCTTGATTGTAGTGTAATTCTTTCTTTTCTCTTTCCTTCAGAAATGTGTAAATTAGTTTAAGTATATTCAACGTTTGGAATTTTTTTTTAGTTACATTTTATTAATATTTAGGCTTATCCTACAACACATCGAGGATGCATTGTTGGATTATGTGTATCGACATTTTACATAGGATTTTTCTTAAGTCCATACATTTATCAGGTATGTATAGCTTAAATTTTCAACAGAATTTTTAAATCCGTACATGTGACTCATAACCTAGAAATTAAAACCTGCAGTTATAATTTATGTTTCGATTTTTATCCATTTAAATTAAATTAAATTACATTAGGTTTATTAACCAGTTTTTTACATTATTATGATTTCAGCACTATTTAAGTTATATTTGAATAATTAGCCTAAAAGTTGATGAATTGCGATATTCGAATGATGTATAATAATGATAACAATGTTAAGTTATTGTACAGGGCTAAAAAAAAAGAAAAACGGACAACTCAGAATAACTTTTGATTTAATGATCGAATCTTCAGAGTTCTATCTGGATGGTTCGAGGGGGTGATCACAAATATGCTAATTGATTGGTGCAGACGATATTTTAAGTTACGAAATCAGACACAAAAACATACTTTCTCTGAATAAGCATACCTTTTATTCTACTGATTTGGATTTTTGACACTCAAAATATAGGATGCAGCCGCAATCTGTGAAATGTGATCACCATAGTATGGTCAGGAGAGCGAGCCAAAGTTTGAACCCCTTAAAGTTAATTTACTTTTTGCGCATCTCGCCATATCTCGAAAACTTTTTAAGCCAGTTTGAAATTTTTTGTACACAATTATAAAATTCGATTATCCACAGAAAGTTTTTTTCTTCGCGCGCAGGTCGTCGGGCTGCCGAAGCGGGGGTGCCATCCCCTCCGCAGAGGATCAAAATTGTGATGGCATGTCTTCGGATCATCCCCCGGGATGTTTCCCAGACCGTCGCCAATAGCCCATTGTGCAGCTCTAGTGCGACGTAAATTAACAACAACAATAACAACAACAACCAAAGATAGTTTCATGCAAGATATAATTTTTAGTACATATTTATTATTTTATCAAATAAGAGTCGAAAAAAATTGAAATTGTAATGTATGAAATTTTTTACATCATTTTATAGTATGCAATTTAAATGTCAAAATACAAAATTTGAGCGAAATCAGTTGAATAGCTCCTGAGAAATCAAATTTTGAAGAAATCGTATATTTAAAATTCAATTTCTTAGGAAATTATTTCATGTTTTTATTGTTTATCATAAGTGTATCTACACTGACGTATATCTGAATAAGTGTATACATTTGTAAGTGTACACTATTAGTGTATGTGAAGGGTTCATATAGCACTGAAATATTCTCCTCCCTTTGCTCACTGGGTTGTTTGTGCTTTTTAACGTGCAGTCTTTCATTGTAACAGGATACAAAGACGGTTTTTTTTTTTGATTTTCTTGACTATATTGGTTAGTTTCTTGACAGAACTATATCTTCAAAACTCAATATTTTTAACAAAAATACATTCATATTAAAACTCATCATCTTCATAGTCCATAATATTCAATTAAAATATTAATCTTTGCTACACTAATTTGTAATTGTTCTAAAACACTGAATCTTGCATTTCCATACTCGCATGTGGTGAGGATATTTTTTATAATCGTACGGAAAATACAAAAAAGCTACTGGACCACTTTGATTTTAAGTAATTTTTTTAAATAAAAAGTGTTTTTATAAAATACTTAATTTATGTAGAGAGTCATAAAAGTTAAGTTTTCACTATGCATTTTTGTTAATGGAATTGAGAACGGTGAAAGAAACAAAGAATTAATATTTTATACAAAAATTAATTGATAAAACTTGCTATATTACCATTTCTTACTGTTTTAGTGAACTATTTTACAAATCTCTTTCTAAGCATATATCGAAATGTCTTAAATAAAAATTAGAACAGTTACCTTTTTTATAATTGCTTTTCAATTTAATGAAATAAATTTACATCTTTTGTAATAAAATTTATTTAAACTGAAGTTATTAATGAAAGGCATATCATGTTAGTTTTCATGAGCTGTATCTTATATTTTTTCATTATTATTCGTTTCTATCTGTTATATCTGTTTCTATAAAGAGATATTTTACTTAGGCCATAGGAAGGCAAGAATGCTTACTTGGATTTTACGGGTGTATAACTCTCTTGTGTGGCATTGCGGGAGCGTTTCTACCTTTAGAAACCAGAGGTTTGGAATTAATGGTAAGCAATAAACTACATTAAAAGAAAAATATTTAACTATTATATATGTAACAAGAGGGAGACATATTACATAATATTATCACACATATGAGTCCCCAAAATTGACCGACAGTTTGAAAAAATCAAATAAAAACTAAAAGAAGGTAGAAAGGTACCATTTACTGCATTTTACTTAGCTAGTGAAGAGTTTTTCTCCGTACGTTTACATTAAGTGCGTCAAGATGTGGTACTGCAATCAGAGAATAACTCTGAAGATTGTTTTTCGTAGGCTTTGTCGTCATATGAAATTATGCATTTTTGTGAATAATATACTATTTTCATAACTGCTGTGAGTTTGCAACAGTTACTCATGCCTGTTAGGACAAGTTTAGCCTATCTAAAGTTAGCGCTCTTTATGCTTATTATGAAAATGGCACAAAACGTCAATATGGAGAAAAGCATCAGTTCTGTGGAAATGAAAAGGTTTTGTGGTATAATTTTTAGTATTTAAGAACTTACTCCATTACTGTATTATCCGAGCTCATAAACATTAGCAAGAACTAAAAATAAGGCTGTGATTTTCATAATTTTCTTCTAGGTGGAAAAGCGTCACCAAAATGGCGATTTTTAAAAAAGGCATAATAACTTTTAAAATATTTAAGTCATTTGTCCGTTTTAAAGTCCAGATAATTTTTCACAGATAGATGATATAAATAGTTTGAACTCATCGTCTTGCTTTAAGTGTAAGGCACTTAAACTGTGGTTTTCTAATTTTCCTTGGTGATGACAGAGCTTCGAAAAACGATGTTAGCAATGTTTTTAAGTTATCACTATTTTCAGCCAAGACACATTCTGGTACAGTCTGAAGAAAAAGTTAGCTGACTTCCCTTGCAAATCAGTTGGAATGATCTAATATCCAGGAGAAAATATTACTTATTAGTTTCTATAGTTGGCTGCGTCACCTGTTGATGAAATCTGTAACTATTTTGTAAATTTGGTGAAAATAAAGAATCTGGTTTTCTAAAGACAATGCAGAAATCCGCACATTTCACTTTCCGCTTTACTTTAAAATTGACTTTTAAAATCATTGGTCATTTTTTGGGACACTTGTTATTACGCATTTCACAAACACATACATTTTGGCATACAACACGCTTTAAAAAAATGCCAGCTGTTTTTTTTCTACACGTGTTTGTGTACGTCCCCTTTTTTTAAAAAAGAAATCAAACAAAGAAAGAAATGTTTATGATTGGATTTTAATATTGATTTGAAAAAAAGTAAATATATCTTTTACCTGAGTGTAACGAATGAGGATTATGCTAAAAACTATCCGGCTATACTACAATTGTTTAAACCGTGCAATTTGTCTGTCATTTGTTTGTTTGCTTGTCATTAAATCAAAAAATTAAATCATTGAAGTTTCTTTTAATTAACTAATTAAAAAATTTGCTTTTCAGAGAATCGTTCTAAATATGTCGAAATCTTTTGATTCGTTTCTGTCAAGACACAATGATTTTATTGATTTGTCCTACATTTAATGTGTTAATGTTTGACATATTTTAGAGATAAATATGAATATTCATAAATAATTCAAAGTAAACATTTTTAAAACTTAATTTAACATAAATTGTTTTAGTTTGAAACAAGTTATTTGCATGTATTTCTTTTAAATGTTATAATTTTCATTACGTATTAAGCACTTGTTTGGACATGAATCCCATATTATTTCCAGTCCGACACGAAAATTGTTTATTCAATGTCAAAAAAAATTAAGTTTTAGTTATTAAATAACGAATTTATTTCTTCTTAGCAAATATTTTAGAATGTATGAGAGCCAGAAAACGTTTTATCATGGGATATCACGTAAATTTAAATTTTTACAATTATTTTATAATTTTGCATTGTGTTCTTAAGTCTTATTAAATTTCTGACTGTTTAGTATAAAACGCAAAGATTTTAGATTGAATTCCTTTAGTAATTTTTCAGATTGACTTCGCAATATATAATATTTACATAAAAAACACTTTTGGCAGTTAGCGACATTACGCCCAAGTTTTGTTATTGCTAAAACTAGAAAATTATTTAGGAAAATGCATGTTTTTTTATAAACTAGCATCTGACATTCATTTTATTTTTATCATCTACATTTGGTTTTATCATAATATTATCCTTATTAATAATTTCTTTTAATGTACTTTTTATATTTTTTAAAAAATAAAGCTATGTATCACAAAATTATTTTCCTTTACATAATTTCATCAAACTTTATTTATTTTTTAGGAGATACCGAAAGAAAAATAGGGAACGAATTTTCGAGAAGATGCTATAATTAGAAAAATGACGTTAAAGAAAATGGCAATATTTTTAAAAAATTGTACAAATAAATATGTTTTTTAAAAGCTGTTTTCATCACTTTCCTCCTTTTTTAAAATAATTTAGTTTCCTAATTCGACTTCTTATTTCTCTCAGGAGCTTAACAAATCACAACGATCTAGTATTCAGCGATCTGGTATCTTGGTTGAACAGAAGAGAATGCTGGTGCGTAAACGCACTTGCTCTGTGGCTATGCAAATCGAAAAAAAAAAAAAAAAANAGTGAGGCTCCATCTCAAAAAAAAGAAAAAAAAAAAAAGGTGACTATTCATCGGATCTCCTAAACGCTTTTCCCAACTGCTCAATAATGTGTTGAGATGAATTGAAACTATCGAAGGAGTAACTGGTTATTTTTTATCACGGTAAATCGTACCCGCGACCAAGTCATGGAAGACGAATATGCATTAGGAATAGAATAGGAGGATGGATAATAGGACACATTGTAGAGCGAGTGTTATCGACAATGCCAACCTTCATCTATGAAAAGATTCCCCGTTATAAAATTGAGTTAACATGTATTATATACTAGTGAATTAGAACTGAATAATTGTGTTGGTAGACATGTTACAGCATGGATAATAAATATATGGATTATAGGATACATGGTAGGGCACATGGATGGGATAATAGGAAAGCTATTCTGATTCATTGGCTTTATTATTATTTTTTTTAGTAATTTATTGTTTACAGCATACTCAGGAGACTAGTAGAAAGTATCGGAAAATGCAAGGCATTTGGAGATTATGAGTTCAAGAATCTTGGGAAGGAATATATTTAGCCGATTTTATGAGTTTTTTTTTAGTCATTTCGATGAAATAAAAACATTTGGTGATGTCATGCTTTTATTAATGCGGTATTAAGAAAGGCGAGAAAGAAACAGGTCGTTCTTATTGCTGTTTTCTTTTTAGAAAATATGGATGGAGAAAATAGTCTTAACTTTTGTGTTCTCCGAGGATAAAAGCAAAGTTTTGAGGATGCTATCAAATAGCTTGCTAACCTAATGAATTTGGTGATACTTTGAAAAAGCTGTGCACAATTGAATGCATTACATAATTGGAGGTTAATCTTTTTGGAATCAGCAGAGAGGGATCAATATACTTTTATTTTTATTGCGCGTTGTATTAAGCTGGTAAAAAGGCTTCTTCTGGATTTAAAGTAAGCTAAATAAGCATGCATTATAATCCTTAATGCGCAATCATTTTTATACCTTAATGCATAAAGAAAGCATGCATTAAGGATTAAAAAGGATATTTCTATAACATAACGTTTGGAGAGGGTGCCGAACAATAGAATATGAATATTAACTATAGAATTGCATAAGTGAAAGACTCTTATCACTCTTAAAATTAATTTACGTTGCATTAAGCGCATCTAGTGCCCTCAACATTTAAAATTAAGGACTAAACATCTTTTTACTGCAATTTTAATATTAGCTATAGTGCCCTTACTGCTATCAGCGTATATACTACCATAGACGTTCAAAATAATTAAGCAAATCGGTTAGAATGATCTAACATACAGGAGAAAATATTGCTTATTAGTTTCTATAGTTGGCTGCGCCATCTGTTGATGAATTCTGTAACTATTTTGTAAATTTGGTGAAAATAAAGGACCTGGTTTTCTAAAAAGAATGCTGAAATCCATACATTTCTCTTTCCTCTTTTCATTAAAATAGATTTTTCATTGATTCATCATCTTGTTTCGGTACAAAAAGTTAAAAATCCTTAACATTTTGTACTTAAATCTCTCACAAAGCTTACAATCTCTGAAAAGTTTTATCTTGCAATTATATTCAGTTTATTAATTGTTAAATACTGATCAATTACTAAGCTTTCACATTTCTTCTCAACAGTCACAGTTTAGTTCTAAAATTGAAAAAAAGAAAAGAATTTTATTAATTACCGAACATACCATCGATAAAATTTAAAAAGAAGCTGATATATTATTTCTGTTACGTATGCTAAAAATATTTTTCTCTTAATTTTACTTATGATAAACAACAAAAGATTCAATGAATAGTCTGAAAAGGATTATTTTAATTCAAATGTGATTTAAATAGAATGAGTGAAATTTCCTTCAAGTCGAGTTATTTTAACTCTTTCACTTTAAGTGAGTAAATTAAAGTTTCTTAAACTATTGATAAACAGTCATTATTTAAAGGAAAAACGATCACTAGAAAGTATTTCAAATTGCAATAGCTTTAGAAAAAATTTAATTAAAAAAAAACAATTCAAGTTCATAAATAAAAATTGCCCTTACAGCATGTCGAATTTTAACTCCTCTTAGTCGCATTTCGATGAGTTTCATAGCGAATCACAAGATTTTTTTTGCTACAAGTTTAACAACTAATTATCTTGAGCTTTTCATCGAATGTGAATTTTTATATTCTATTATGCTTCCTGTACATTTTACTAAATCTTATAGCAATTTTAAATTGCGATGAGATGTAGTAAACATTTAGTTTTGCGCAATAAAACTAAATGTAATGTGAAGTTGTGTAAATCAAAAAGAATAGAGAAAAAACTTACATATTGAAGCAATAAAAATAGCGATTTTCAAATCATTAGAATTTTCAAACATGTCTTCTTAAGTTTTCAAATAAAAATGGCTCTTTCAACTCGTTAAATTACAACACCTTAGCTACATTTCGACGCCCGGTGGCTGAGTGGTAGCGCTTCGCGCTCCCGTGCCACAGGTCCTGGATTCGATCATCGGGCCGGGCAAGGTTGACTCAGCCTTTCCTCCCTTCAGTGGGCCGATAAATGAGTACCAAGCGGACTTGGGAACTAAACACTGGGGGTTCCGCTTTCGGCTGACCACCTGACCGGAACATCTGCTCCTGCACCCCAGAGCTTAAGGTCAGGAAAACTGAGATGGGCACAGTAGGTCTTGGCCCTCTATGGGCTGTCGCGAAACTGAGTTTAGTTAGCTACATTTCTGTTTAGACTGCAGACTGACTCGCGTTCTGTTTTTTACTCTCAATTTAAAAAACATTCTGTGTATCAGCTTTCTAATTTTTAAAAACCTTAATCTAAACTCATTAAACTTAATTAAGTTGCCATTTTACATGGTAATAATTGAAATTTTCCCAATAACGCTCAAACTTTCGCAGGAATTTTATTTTATTTTCATACTTTTACTAAAAAGTGATGTTCGATTTAGCATACGTAGTATTTATTTAATATTACTTACGTAACTGTGTTTATTGTTACTGTTATGAAGCTTATTACTGTTTTGCATTTTTTAAATATTTTTAAGGCTCCAATCTCATGGATTTGCGTTGCATAGAGCTCATGATGAATAATTAAGTATTTTTGCAATTTTAAAAAAATTTACGAAAGCAAAGTTTTGCTCGTTTAGTTTGTACTTTTTTTAATAACACGTATTCTTTTTTATTTTTATTCACTTTACTTGTAACAATGCTTATGTAACTTTTATTGTTTTTTTCTTTCAGAAATGTTCACATTTCTGATTTTTAAAAAAAAAAAAATAGATTAATTGATAATAACTTAAGAAAAGCAATTTTTTATCGAAAATGTTTGTCAGAAAATAGAAAAGGAATTAAATCAATTCAGTCAACATTTACAGCGATAAAAAACAAAGTAACTGTAATCCCATTATCTGGTGCATTTGTGCGTTTTTAAAATAAAAATAAAAGGAATAATCTATGTGTTTCATTGTTACCTTTTAATTTATCACATACCCTATTAAGTTACTAACCAGTTATGTCTGTTTTCTACATTGTTGTTTCAGTTTTATATTTCTTTGCGGGAAGTCTCAAAGCGGAAAAGATTTCTCCAAATTGTGAGACCAAAAATAATTTGGTGGAATGTTCGGGCA